GGCTGGGGGGGCGGAGGGGGGGCTGCACAGCACGCCCAGCTCCTCCTGGGAGAGATCGGAGGAGAAGGGGCGGCCAAAGCCACCGGCCGGCTGCTTGCAGGCTGTGGAGCCTGGGGTTATTTTCTTGCTCATCCCCATTTCTGCATGTTGTAACATGAGGGGGTGAATGGAGACCCCTCTCCCAATTCCTTAACCCCCTCCTTCCCTTCCTGCCAAGCCCCATCCTATTTGAGTGCATGCGGCGCATAACGCTGGTCCGCACAGCGCCAGGCCTGGAGCTGCCGGGGCTCCCGCGTGTCCCCGCGGCGCTGCCCAAAGCCGCTCGCTGCCCTTTCCAGCTGCATCCGCTCCGTGATGAGGGGGTGAATGGAGACCCCTCTCCCAATTCCTTAACCCCCTCCTTCCCTTCCTGCCAAGCCCCATCCTATTTGAGTGCATGCGGCGCATAACGCTGGTCCGCACAGCGCCAGGCCTGGAGCTGCCGGGGCTCCCGCGTGTCCCCGCGGCGCTGCCCAAAGCCGCTCGCTGCCCTTTCCAGCTGCATCCGCTCCGTGAGCACCGGCTGCAGGACGAGCAGCTCCCACATGTGGGATCCCCCCCGTGCAGGCCGCTTCCCAAGGCGCCACAGGAGCCGGTTTAACACACAGAGGCTCCCGCTGGGGCTGGGGGGCACGAGAGGAGCTGCCTCGTGGCCGGGTCTGCGGTGACCAGCGTTGCCGCCGGGCGCGGGGAGCGGTACCTTGCAGGAGCGGCGGCGCGGGGATTGCCAAGCAGCACCCCAGGAGCTGTGCCCCGGCTCCGAAACCCGGGGTCCGCATCCTTCCTCCCGGGACCACGCTCCTCCTCCTCGGAAGCTTCAGGCTTCTCGGAAGCTTCAGAGGTTTTCTGCAAAACACAACTCTCAGAAGTGTGAGATTTGCAGCTTGGGGAAAGATGTAGCACTTGAGCAGCGTTTTCAGGTCGTTTGCCCAGATTTTGGCATCCGGACAGTGCCCACCTTTGCAGGGGACAGGCCGGTGCCCTGGGCGCTCCAGCAGCTCCGTGAAGCCACTATCAGAACCTGACACCTAGTGGTCACTCGTCCCCAAATTAAGGCCTGAAAGAGCAATCACCATTTCCAGATTTATACAGGCATCCATATTTAGAAAGAAAAGGCAAAAATTACCATTGCAGAGACAATATTCCTTGACTAAGATGGCCACAGTCTGCAACCATTCATGCAATATAAAGTGCCTCCAATTTGCAGAGTGTAAAATTAACAGGAAAATACTTTGTGGAAAATATCATGTAACGTTCATGAACATCTTGATTCTTATTAAACTTAAAACCGATCTGCTGCCTGTCAAGTGCACATATTTCTAGTCCACTTACAGCTAGTCAAGTTGTGCAAGCACTGTGGAAAAAAAAAAAAGCTTAACATTTTCATTCCTTAATGTTGCTTTGTGCATATTCTGCATTTCCCTGCATGCTGGAGGCCATCTTGAGGCAAACACCTACCATCAGCAATCTGAAAATCCCTTCTTCCAACCATACTAGCCTGACATTGTAATTTAATTATTTTTCAAATAAAGATTTACCAGTATTTTATTTGTTATTTCATCTCTGAAATTTAAACCTCCCAGGTGCTTACAATGTTCCCAGGATTGTCCCAGCAGGTTCACGTGTGTGTAAACTGCTACCTCCGGATCCAACGTGCAGGACTGGAAAGAAAAATACAAAGTAGACACCAGGTATTTTGGGATTAATGCTCAAACCTAGTTGCACAGTGAACAGTCACCCAGCAATAAATTTATTTCACCAGGGCTCTGACTGTAAGTTCCTACCTTAATGCAAACAAATTAACTGCTTAATGGCATTTATTCCTGATTTTACACCCAGATCGGAGAAATGCCCACCAACTTCTACATGAATGGGACCAAACAGCCCTCTTCTCCCTGCATACAATTCTGCCAAAAGGAAGTTTCCTAATAGACGTAATAGACTGGTACCAAGAATGGCCACATTTCAGCCTCAAATTTGACACCATTTCCATTTGAGAAATCACCAGCTCAAGAATCAGCTGAATAAGAGCCCAAGTGCCACTGAACAGCCGCATCTAAAGTTAACTGCACGTTTGACTCTCTTGCAAATTAATCAGAGTTAATTCTGCACCTGCTTCTTCATTGGTGTTACTGAGACATTACCTACTTTGCAGTCATGGTGGCGGGGTGTCTCCAGATACTGCTTTATATCTTCAAAGCACTTTCCAAATGCTAAGGGTTATTATCAGCCCTGACCACGAACATTAACTCTCGTCAGGTCCCCAAGTTGCTCTGCAGAATCTTTGAAGACGATTTGATTATACAATCAGTTCTCCATATGCTAATACTCAGGCACTTTAAGTTTGTCACATCAAAAAGAAAGACAGAAGGAATTATTTGTCAGAAAGACGAATAATTACCAATATCAGAAGTAAATTGGCCATTTGTTAGGAGTAATGTTCTTAACCATCTACCAGGAGAGCTCCCTTGATCAAAATAAGACGGCCTGGAACCAAATAAGCTGGTTTAGCAAACACTTTAGCTAACAACTTAGCTATAATAATGTAAGAATTTATAAGCTTTTCTGTTGGGAAAAGTGGCAGTGGCTTCTGGAACCCTGAAATAGCAAAGGTGTCCTCAGTCTGTGCTTTCTTCACAATCAATTGACTTGGCTACCACAAATTGTATTAAATAGTACAGTTTACTTATGCAAAAGTATTGTGTACGACTACTTTTATGGGAGGATTCCCTAACCAGGGGTATAATCTTCTACTTTTACATTAAAAGACAAAGAGAAACCTTGAACAAATTCAGCTTAGCATACCATAAATGCAAGATATCTGGGCCGTAAGTATGGCTATCAATGAGGCAGAGTAGCAGCATTTATTTCACCTGTAGCCAATGTTTATTGGTAAATGTATTTTTTTTTATTTTATTCAAAGAACTGCAAGGCTATTTGATAGGATTCTTGCAGCCATAAGAACAATAAGGGCACTGCAGAACCACTAAACACAAAACTCAACTGCAAGTTACACCATGCATTTGCTCACCTGAGAGTTTCTTTAGGTTGAATTTAACAATAAGCATAAAATCAAGTTATTTAGCAAAGATCCTCAAAATCTGCAGTCCTGTTTCAGCCAGCATATCGCATGTAGCCAAACAAACATAACAAATAATTGCATGTCCTGTCATCAGCAGGGCTGTAACACAGCGCTCTTTGTCCGCCCGCTCCAATTCCAATACAGTTCAGCAGAGTCTTTCATAGCTCCTCAGCCTCTCACAATGTTTGACATCTGATTAGACTCTACTCAGAATGAACTGGTTCATTTTGAGGGAGGAACTGTATTATTTTCTTGACAGAAAAGCTACATTTAACTTGGAGAGCTTGGTTACACAATGAGATGCAGACACAGGTTGCTCTGTGTTTCTTTATTGCGTTTCTGCACACTAGTTTAACATTTTAAACATGGAGCAGCTAAAAGTTTACATCAAGTAAAAACTCAGAAACAAGCTCCAATTCCTAGCAGAACAAAAAGGCATTCCCCACTATATATGCTGGCCAAAAAGACGATTATTTCTGTAACTTATGATTAGCAAATAACATACATTAAAATATGCAATGTAATAACTGCCAAGAAAACTAGACGCACAATGAAAAATAACAAAGATATGTCAAGTTAAAGTTCTCAAAGCATTAAAGTCTGAAAGTGAATACCATTGACTATGAAGTTGAGCAGAATTAGGGACTTTTCTTCCCTAACAAGCCATGTAGAACTCCTGTATCCAGCAGATGTCTGAGAGCAAAACGATCTCCATTTCTAGAGCTTTCCAAGTCAAAAGGATGCACTCCTGAACGATTTGAGGTAAAAATACCTGTGCAATCCACCTACAACTGCACACAGCAAAAGACAGGTCAGGTGTACATGGTGAATACCTGGATTGCACTGGTTTGAAGGATCTGGAATGCAAGAACATCGACCAAAAATTCAGCGCCAAACAAAGCCACTCTAACTATAGTATTAAGCAAAAAAAAAAAAAAGTGATTAAAATGCAAGTGCAAATACAGCTGTGTGTCTGGACCCTCCTGTACCATCTAAGAGAAGAGCCCTGTGCAGACCTCTGCAAATAGGACTTAACTCAGTCGTGCAAAATCATTACAAATATTAACTAAAGCCCAACAATCAAATAGTCATTTGTGCCCCTAACCACGAAAAAGGCCAAAAAATAAGGTGTAGGAATTATGCCCTATTTTATACACATGCCTACGCAGAATTATTCTCCTTGAAGTCAACCTTGTGCCCCTAACCATGAAAAAGGCCGAAAAATAAGGTGTAGGAATTATGTCCTATTTTATACACATGCCTACGCACGCAGAATTATTCTCCTTGAAGTCAACTTTTGTTGTAACTTAAAAATAAACCTTCTGCTCATTGCTAACACACGGCCCTGCACCTCAGACACAGTCTACCTGAACCAGAGATGCTCGAACACTAATAGGTAAATGGAACAGTGTCTCAGGTAGGAGCAAAATTACTGCAACTGAAGAGCCCAGTAAAGCTTATTTTCTTAGCACAGTAGCGTTAAGAGTTTAAGGTTGACCCTGTTTTGAGATATTTGAAGTTAATTGCTGAAAACTTACTAATTTTATGTGTCTGTATATTAATTTGATTCTTTATATATATATATACACATACAGAGAAAATCTAGCTTAACTGTACGTCTGGATAATACAGCTCTCTAGTGAAACTTCTACAGTCCTGTAGTAGAAATTCCATGACAGTATTTGAACAAAGTAATTAAATCTATATGAGAATTTTACATCTTAATTAGATCACTGGAGATAAAATATTGCACCTTACTGTGACTACTGCATGGTAGTGAGCAGGCTGAGACTCACGCAATTAGGGCAAAAAATTATTTGGGAGAACAAATCTAATCAATGGGAATTCAGCTGGATACATTATGAAAGACCTGAAGATTAAACATTTACACTGCAGTAGCTTCCTAAGAACAAAATGAAGATTTTGCATTTGCAAATCAGAGCACAAAATGTTATGAAAATTATTAAGTCTACCAAAATACTCTGAGCTGTAGTATGAAGTTTATTTAAAGATGCCTTTTACTTATGATGGGGAACATTCGACCTTAAACTAATAACCACAAGGAATAAAAGTGCCTTACATGAGGAGATTCTATACTAATTTAGAGATGCTGGCTTGCAGTTTTAAGCACGTTAAAAGTTCATGTGTATTTATAGCTGGTAATTCAAACTGAGCCAAGTTCAGCCAGGTCGTTTCCTCTTTGCTCCAAATGGTTTTGCTCCACTAATAAAGCAAACAGATGGCTCCTCACTGATTTCTTCTTCTTTGTAGCCACCTGAAGAATTATAATGCAGTATTTTCAAATATTTTGGTTGATGGAGACTACCTATAGCTAGCTTAGGGCTGCTGAAATACATGTGCTTTTAAATGCAAAGGCAACATTAAGATGACTTTCCATCACATAGTTTCCTAACTGCTAAAAAGGAGTAGGAAAAACAATCCCAAGGGTGTGCAAGATACCTGCCAAGCACCCGGTGCTGGATTGCTGCTCTCTTTCCACATTGCTGCTCTTTTTCTCAGAAAAGCATTTGCAAGAACAGGACTGAAAAGAAACTTAACAGCGACTCCAGGTCAAGCTCGAGCAGGAAGGAAGGAATGCTTTTCCTATTGCCAGGCCTGTAAACGGTCCTTGCAGAATGATTTTGGAGTCTGTTAACCTCCGGCAACACCACCGATGTGGTTCTGCAGACCAGCACTACGATGAGGCCCTTAGTGACACCCTGCAGGCCCAGGAAGGCTCAGTTACACCCTCAGTGACAACCGCGTGATCCAAGGATTTTGGACACTGGTGGGAAGAGCAAGTGGAAGACTGTGAATATCCGGTTGGTGATGCCAGGGGGATACGTGGCCCAGTTCAACTAAGCAGCAGGGACTTGTGAGAAGGAAATAATCTGAAAATACAGACTGCAGTGCCAAGCAAACTGCCCAGTAAAGCAGAACAGGGAGAGACGAAAGATTGTCTTATATTTACTATTTAGTAGGTCTCTCTATGGTAAGTGGGCACATTTCCAGTGGCCAAGGCAGAAAGGCAAAAGGCACAACTGCTGCAGCACAGCAGGGGCATGAGGTAGAGTTACCAAGGAAGCAGAGGTGGAAAGGGGGCACTCCAAGCAGCTAAACGAAAACAGCACAGCCTTGAGACGGTCAGGGTCACACTAAAATGTCATAAAGTGCCTTTAAACTAAACACTTGAACTTAAAAACAAAACCAAAACAAGCAGTAGCAATCCCACATTTCTGAATTTAGCATCGATAAGCTGGTGTCCTGGCATCTGCTGTGCTGAATGACACCAGCAACTGGTGGCTTCGCCTACTGGCAGAAGCATCTCAATGTCTGCTCGAAAGATACTTAAATGCAATCAGTGAAGATCATGTCATCATTACACAGACAGACCTATTCCTCATCCGAAAATCCAATCACATAGATTGTACATTAACTTAATGCACAGTCACACTGTTAAATACAATAAAGTACATAAAGTCAGTGAGAAATATGCTCTAGGGAAGGTCATGGCTAGTAGTATGCTTCAGAGGTAGATAAAGCTTATGCCAACTGGACCATAGCTTTAGGATAAAGCTCTACAACTGGCAACTTAAAGGGTAATTTTGTCTGGTCCCCAAATAAGATCCCACTGCATTGAACTTCATTTCCATAAGGGGCTGTAATGGAGTTAGCTCCCCATAATGGAGTTAGCTCCCCAGCTGTCACTAAGCTGGGTAACTCTCTTCTAAGAAAAGTACAGCTTTAGGCAAAATGTTGAAAAACATACATACACTGGGGCTCCAAGAGCTGCTGAAAGATCTTTCAAGTACCCAAATGCTGTGTTTTGCCCACACTCCTAGCATTGGATTAGGTTTTGGAAGTCCACTCTCCCTGCTCCCCATCAGCAGGGTCAGCTAACTTTGTTTTGCTCTGATGTGTTCAATTTCATGGGATCAAATGGGCAATTTTGTCAAATGTCTTGACAGTCTTGACACACTAGACTCTCCTCTCCTGGTATGTTATTAAATTTGGCAGCTTCTAATTTTCTCCGTTAAAGTTTCTAAATTTGTTACTGAGTTTTGGAAAACATCTTCTGGCTTGCACTACAGAGAGAGCGGACATCCTGTAGCTCGATCCATTCCAAATAGTGATCACGCAGCAAACACGATGAAAAAGGTCTAGATACCGTCAATGAGATCTTTCATTCTCCTCTTGTCATCCTAAACACCAAGTTTTGGGTGCTTCTTCTTTTAAAGAAAAGAAAGGAAGAAGATAAAGACTTTTCTCATCCCCTAAATAATGAGATGATAGCTCCCCTCCTAAACCAATTCAGCAATGCACCTGATAGACTCTTGAATTCTTCATGTTTCTGCTTCTTTGCGGTCAGGATTATTAATTCATTCAAGTCACTGACAGAATGTTTGAAAAGAGACACAACAATTCATACAGAAGACAGGGAATAAGATCTCTGCTCCTTCTTTTTCCTTCAACTTTCAAAATAATTCCTGGCACGTACTAACAGGTATTGAACTCTGTTTTAAAGTGAGCAAAGTTGTTAAGAGTTAATATGCACTCCTTCTCAATGGCACTTAGTAGAACTGAAAATGGCTGGCTGTGAAATTGTGTGGCATATACATACTGCAAAAAAGAAGGGAAAATAATGGTAAAACAATGTCAGTTACTTCCAGGTGTTACAATCTGGACTGACATTTCGGGGGCCATCTACGGCCCGATCTGCTGAGCATGGTCCTTGGACTGTGCTTCAATATTCAAGAGATGGGTGTTTTGGAAGGATGAACGGACGGTTCGGTTCATTAACGGCTGAAGAGGGCGAAAGTTGTCTACCATTCTCTTTTCTTCTTCGCCATCTGAAGTAAAGAGCAGCATCCGAAATGCCTCCAGCTGAGAATGAGAAATGCCCAATCAGATACACTATTACGCTTATATTCTGAGAAATCTTAGCATCAATTTCTGGCATTTCTTCACTGTCTGATAGAGATTACGCCCATCCATATCAAGGCAGAAGATGAGCTGCCAATCATCTGCCATCTTTAGGCAGATTCTCTCTTGAATGTGTCAGTTCTGAGAAAGAACTGACTCCCAAATGCTGTAACCTATGCCTTCCTTAAATAAAGCTCTCTGAACTTCTTAGCTTACATCCTTCCTGGAATTCAGCTGGCATATGCCGGTACCAAGAAAACAGGAATCTCAACAAGCAACAATCTAAGTAGTTGTCTAGTTGTTTCTTTTATGGCTTTATAACTGAGGATTAAAAAAAAAGTGCAGCAGAGCAGATTTTTAACATTTGCAAGGTCACTAGAATATTATGTAAACTATAATCCTTTCTATGCCATAAGAGAATGTGCGAGTGAAGAAAAGCCAAGAGAAAAAGACGAGGAAACGTTCAATCTGAAAAGAAAAATGGGTGTTCTTCCTTGTTCTCCTGCTCTTTTCTATTCTTCCAGCCCTGTTCCTTCACGTAACCCAAAACGTTAAGATCATGCACATGCCTGTTCTTTGGGGTAAATGTTGGTTTGGAGCGAAGCATCTCTTCTATCTTTAATTCCCTTTTCCAGAAGTAGGCAGTCAACCAGGCACAGTGGAAAAGAAAATGCTTGCACAAAACTAACCTGATTTTCATCAACCTCTATTGGCTTCTTCTTAATAATCCATGTGACTGATTCTGTAAGTGGGGGAGTGGTCAAGGAGCCTGCATAGGTCCAATAGTCAGGGCAGGAAGGTATCAAACATGAAGGGTCAAAGACATCAAACTCAATAATCGTGTCCTAAAGTAAAAAAAAAAAAAAGTGTTGTTTTTTCAAATTGTAATTTGAGGAAGACAATCACAGAAGATTTCAAAACCTATTTTAACAATGAGATTAGATATTGAACATTATGTATGCAAATGCAAACTTAAATGTTGTGAACACTAACAATAAGCTACATAAAAATAACTTAAAACACCATAAAGTTGTTATAAAATTGTTAAACTGTGATTAAAACACCAGAGAGAGACAGTGAATAGATTAAATATTCCATTGTCCCCACAAATAATTAGGAATTGAATGAAGAAATGTGTGCAAAGGAATAAGAGACTCTGTTGGTGTGAGAGCTAGAAGTAAACCAGAAAAAAAAAGGCTGAATGGTGGAACAAGTTCAGGTGTTTCTGCCTGTGTACTCCAAAGATCTCAAATGACAGTATTTTCATTTTTAGCCAAATGATTTTAGGCAGCAGGGAGAAGGAAGACAACAGAAAAATTTATTCACATTGCATCAAGTATTCATGGCTCCAGTACTTCTACAGCTGAGATACCAGTCAGCATGTAAAAGCTTTGGGTCCCTTGATTTCCTACACAAACATTATTTGGCATTTATCTGGAAGTTTTACCATATTGCCATGAATATGTTTGTTGTAAGTCTCACTGTGATAAAGGCACAGCGACTTCAAATGGACACATCAGCCAGCAAACTTCCAGAGGTGACTTTAGGTGGCTTTTCAAAAAAAAAAGAAGAGCGTGAGCTGCTTCTGAGGTCACTTCTGACAGAGGCGCAGTGCTCCCTCTCCTGGCAGAAAGTAGAAAATTCATAGAAAATACAACTATAAAGAAATAGTTGCATTTCCTTTAGTTGCATGTTTTTCCTCAACTATAAACTAACAATTCTCCCTACATGTCAGCAAGACCCCCAGGCTATGATTTTCAATGGTAGCTAAAGGAAAATGTTCATTAGTGTTTCGTTATCCTAAAAGTCTTGGTTAGGTTAAATGACTGTGCTAGCTAGGCTAAGTGATAACCAGTGGGGCATTTAAAAACAATTACCTTGTGTTTAACTGCTGGCAAGGCATCTACCAACGTCTGCAGTCCTTCATGATGTTTTCCTAGCTATAGAACACAGAGAGGAGATGTTAAGTATCCAGCTTAACCAGTGCTTTTGACATTTTTTGACATGAAGAAAAAAAATACAGATTTTAATCTGTATCTCTGTTGCAAATAATAACATTAAAAAAAGCATCATTACAGCTTTCAATAAAGTGAAATTACCTTTAAAAATACTCCAATGACAGCCAAGCCGTTACCTTCCATTACAGCTTCTTCAAAAGTTGGGTACACAACAGCATTCCAGTGTACTAAATGCAGCTGAAATATAAATGAAAGAGAATTAACACATGCACAGTGGTGAGAAATGATATCAATAAATTTGACCTATTTTCATCTTAGCTACATTTGGTCCTTGGTGATTTGAGAGATTTGAGCTACCTCAGAAATCAGAGGCTACAAAAATGAAGACAAAAATGTTATCGGTCCTTCCCCCACCCCTCTTTTTAAAGCTATAGTCCAAGAACACACAAATAAAAGGGATTTTGTTTGTGGAAAACAGCCTGGCCAGTTAAAGGCACAAAAACAGTTGAGTGTAATTGGACTGCAGGAAAATTTCCATCTGTCATAACAGGCAGAAGCCTCTGCCACGGAGAGCACAACCCAAGCTTCCTTGGTGCTGTTAACATGTGCAACACAAACACTCTCACAACAGGTCTCGTGCACTGAACAGAAAACAGCCTGTGCTGATCAGCACCACATCAGCTAAGATCTGGGAGCTCCTTAAGCCAGGGAAGGAGCCTTCCCTGTCCGAACCCTCTCACTGTTTCCCCTTGAAAGCAGCAGTTGTACCATTCCACCCGGACAGAGCTGGAATACCAATGATTTCTGCCGCCCGCCTCAGGCTTATCCAGCAGCTCCCACTGTGAGAATCCAGGGAGGAGAAAACTAAGGAAATTTTCAGTCATGTGGACAACTGAAGACTGAATTCTCAGTCCAGAAAATACAGTGGATATGAACTTACTAATAAAAAAGATAGAAGAGCTGTAGCACTTAGAAGGTCTGCTTCTTTGTAAGCTTCAGATCTCCACTCAAACACATTCTAAGCTTCCTAACAAATATTATAGTTACAGAGAGCCTGGAACACAGTGTGCAGCCCATGCGAATATCCGAGTCCTTCAGCACTTTTCCTCTTACCTCTGCTGGGTAAACTTTGCTGTCGACTGTGTGCTCGGAACCCCACTCGTTTATGGCTCCCCAGTGGAAGTGGAACTGCTTTAGCCTGTACTGGTTTTCCAAGGGACCTCCCATGATTACTGAAAAAACAAAATGAGATGCACATTAATTAACACAGTTTTGAACTGTGCAGAAGAGTAACACAGTAAGATTCCCCCATCAAGTGAACTTGTCCAAGAAAATCAGCTGGAGCAACTGTCTTACTGCAGCCATCCCTTACCCCTCACACACTTTTACAATTCCTCTTGTTATGAAAAAAATGTTCAAGGAAACACACATTATTTTCCCTGAGGTCCAACTTCACTAGACCAAACTGGAGGCAATACTTAGTCTTTTTATCCGTCCTCCCTAAAGAAAATAAAACTTTTGCTATTTCACATGGAAGTTGGGCAGAATCATGGAGATAACACATAAACACGATGTTCTTCTCCTGGAACAGGGATTCAAGAGCTGTTTTAGCACAGGAAACACACACAATGACAACGCAATGGAGATAATAAATAACATCCCAGTGAAGCCTCAGTATCAACGAGAAATACTGACATTTCTCCAGTAGAATCGGTACATTGTGTCAAACATTCTTTTTTTTGAAAATTTACCAAAGCCCCCAAAGTACCAATTTCCAAGAACCAGCACCTACAGCTACACAGCCTTTAGACTATACAACCAGGGCTAAAAGATCTCCTGCATACCTAGAAACATGTTAATATTGTACCTATTGTAAAACATTCAAGCTACACACCCCATCACAGCTAAAATTCAGTCTGCCCGTAAGCAAAATTCCAGGTTTCTGGAAGCTTTAATGCACTCTTTATCCACAGACATAGGCAAATACTAAGGTTTAGCTCCCCTGTTTTCAAAAGGCCTCTCATCATTTTGCAAACAGTGTGAACGACACCACGCACCCTGCACGCCTGCTTTTCTGGGTGCTGCTGCTTTTCACCCATTTCCCCCTGATTGACCCAGGAGGATGGCACAAAATCTTCTCGCTCACCCCTCCATCACAGCGTCTGCTCAATCACAGATGGCAATGACTCGAAAGGCCAACAAATAGGTGACCAGTGAGATGGATTTGCTGATTCTACTAAACTTTATCTCATGCTTAAATTCTACAGCAAACTGTTTCACAGAGCGTATAATCCCAATACTACTTCCAAAAAGAAGTTAATCACTCTAATGCTAAGGAGAAAACAATGAGAGGCATTAGGACCTTTTTTCTTTTTTTTTTTTTTGGAATGCCAGATTTTAAATTCTAAGTATGTTCCAGCAGGCCTGCTTCTGAGGAAAGAGCAAGATAAAAGCAGCTATGCAGGTTGGCATTTAATTAGTTTCAACCACTGCTGCCCAGCTCTTGGCATAAATGCAAAACTGACTGTCAGTCATAAAATGCTGATAGACAAAGATTATTTGGAGGGGATGAGATGAAGATACGGACCACACTGCCAAGTCTTAGTCAGAATTAAGGCTTCTGTGCTCTTAAAATCGTCCATTCCTGATTATGTGAAAAAACAGACCGCCCAAGTGACTACATGCAAGTGAAGAATCACATTCACTTGAACGTTTGCTCATGAGTAGTTAGGCACAGGCACACACATGTACAAAATCAGATTTTTATAGTGGACACTAGAAAAAGAGAGGAAATAAACAGGTTTACAACCCTTTCCAGGCATTTTTGCATTCTGCTGCCTCTCAACTCTGTGAGTGTTGGCAATTTCAAAGCAAAAGGGAAGTTTAAAGAGACTCGAATGAGGAATGAGAGAATCCCATCAGTTCTTTCCTCCAGCCCTAGCTGCACTTTAGGCTCATTTCCTTGAGGAAGCTGGCATTCATGCACACAGACAGGACCACGTACTTTACATACCTGCCCCACTCCCTTCTTCCTTCTTCATCCTCCTGCTCTGTTCATAAGCAAACACCCCAAGGGAGCACTACCTTCATCTGCTCTCCAAGTCTTGTTCTGCCTCATCTCGGGAGCTCTGCATGCTATCGTGGACACATGCTTCAGTTTGTCTTTTACATCTTCTCTTCCAAATTTTCTTGCCTCTCTTTGTTTATTCATAAACTTTTCTTCTCTGGATTTCTAATACGGTTAGAAAGAAGCTGGTAGAAAGAAAAACCAGAAATAGCAACAGTAGAGAGAAGAGTAGAGAAAGGATGCACGCACTTGGAAAGCTGGCAGTTTATACAGCAACACCCCACGATTTGCTGCCCCTCTGTCATTTTGGGAGTTCTGTCACTGACCATTTAATACCATCCTCCACTGGCTGTCATCACTACCCTGCTTTTCATCTTTCACTCTTCACTGACTTTAATTCATCTGGGGAAGATGGTCATGATAAAAAGGTGACTGTCCAGGAGGCATCAACATGTTCATGCCTAAAGATGTATTTCAGGCATCTGAGCTCAAGGATGAAACCACCGAGCTCTTTCAGAGCTGTTATTTGTTCTGAGCAGCCAGCCTCCCTCTGACTGCCAGCCCTCACGATCCCAAGTTCGCTTCTATAGCACAAACATTGCCTTTGAGTATGTAAATGCTGTGTATTTTTTAAGCTGGTGCATGCACCCCACCCCTGTTACATTAATTCTTGCAGCCAAAAAATGGCTTTTTCATACACTAAACAGCAAACCATCACACTTTCAGGAATACATCCTCAAATGATGGCAGGGTATGGCTGTATAAAGTAAAAGGGTGTTAAAAGCAGAACAGGTTTAAAGCCAGTCAACACCACCGATGAGCTTGCTAGTAACTCTGTCTCCTCTGACACCACCTCATGACTACAATTGCATTTTGTACTCTGAAAATAAAAGGGCACTATCTCCTGGCTCTTTATTATATATTATGGCCCTGAAATGAATAATTCCTAAAATATTCCCTAACTGGAAACTAGTAAGAGGGGGAACAGCAGGAAACAATGAAAATAAAAAGGTGCACCCAGTACCCTGAAATCTCCATGTGTCATCTTAGTAGGAGTGCTTTTTACAGCTTGTTTTCAAACAGCAACTAAATATGCTGGTTTCGAGGAGACAAAACATTTGTTCCGCATGCCAAATGCCTCCCAAGAACATTATGAAATCCCATGGTTTAAAGAGATATGACTCTAACCGGACATTCAAACTCAGCCAGGGTCCCTCGACCTTTCCCTCCAAGGCAATCAGTGTGAGTCAGATGCTACTCAATGTTCCTGGTGAACTTCTACCAGTTCGCAGAGCTTTGCTCAATAACCTCTCTATACAAAACAGCAATATACTTTGGTAAACACGACTTTAAAAGGCACAATGGAAAGGAAATCTTGAATTGGGTAGCAGGACCCTGATTTGAAAAATCACTTGTATATATACAGCTTTTCAAAAAACACAGCTGCTCCAGTCAGAGTAGCTATTTGCAACAAATTACTGGAACACCTAATTGGGTTTTGCCCGTATGGACTTTTGTTTATGCTAAAGACAAAGGAACACATGGCAGCAGCTCAGTATTACTTAAATCTCCAAAAGTTTGAGATAAGTATGTATGCTTTTCTACTGAAAGTTAATTCTGCCGCTGATTATTTTGAATGCATTAAAAATATCTGTTAACATTTTGAAGAGAGATAAGTGGCTGATTACTTTATTAATAGTTAATGATGGAATTGCATTTAAAGCCGTTATATACACACACATTATACAGACTACTCAGGCAGACAAAACTGTGATATTATAAAGAGCTAAACAAAAGGCAGACCATTAGCACATGTTCAATAAGAGTAAATGTCACCATACAGTGGAGAAATTATACAGAATGTATTATATATTTTATATAATAATTATATAGGAAACGTGAAGCATGTATAGACTTTGTGCATTACAATTCTCAAAACTGTAAATTCCTGCTTAGCCAAAATGCTGTTCTGCTAGGTGTTTGTTTTCAACATCTGTTTTGTTACTGAACTTGAGAGTTTACTGCATGCAAGGTTTGCCACTCAAAGCAGGAATCACCGGTTAGTTGGATCTTCCTGAGTGTTACTCACTTGATCTGTCAGTAGAATCATCGAACTCGACCAGGAATGAATACCCGTTGTTCCAGATGTGCAGACACGTGCTGGGGTCATAGCTGATTTTCAGGGGCTTCAGAAAGGGGTCGTAAACGCTATCTCTCCACTGGATGTTGATAGGAGACTGGCGTGTGCCCCCGGGGATGGAGAGCGGGCTCTGCCAAAGCGGATGCACTAGAAGAAAAAGAGAAGAGTCAGGTTCTAATGCATGATGCAGAACTTAAGAACTACTTTTTGGCAACAGAAGGAGGGCTGGGAAGCCAGTAGGCTTCGAGGGCTAATGCAAGTCAGCTGATGCACCCGAAGTTGAGGGAAATAACACATTCCAGTCGTGCGACTCAGAGCTACACAGGGAAGCACCGTCCTTTGCCTTAGAGCTTTGCTGATACCCTCCTGCACTAGCAAATGCCCCAAGGGAATTCTCCCCCTTTGTCTGAAAAATCTTCCTATTGCTGCCAATGGATTTTCACAAGGCTTTTGTTTTACACCTTTGCTATATCACTTCAGCTTTCGTTATGCCCCGGTATCATCAACTGTCAGAACAAACCAGGCACAGAAAAATTCCCAGTCTGGAGCAAAGAAAAATATTCTGAGGGTGCCACAATATTTCACCTATATGTGTCTGTGCTTAGGGGCTACCCACTGCTACGGACAGAGCTTCTGAGGCTGCCAAATCATGGACTGCTTTGCAGAGAGCATCCGGAGCCTGTGCAGCACCCAAAGGCTGGCAGGAAACCCCACAGGATCCATTCCCCGGAGCACAGGCAGGAACACAGTTTCCACAGAGGCGTGTTCGGCATAAAAATGTTAGCGAGAGCCGCGTGGATGTGAGCAGCACTTGTCTGTGTGCGGTTTCCTGGCAGCCGCAGGGCTTGGGGACTCCCCTGCTCAAACACTCCCAGGGCAAAACGCGGCGGCCCCAGGGCACAGCCAGGGCTGCTCGGACCAGCCCGGCCCAGATCAGCCCCTCCGAAACCTCGAGGGCAACAAGGACCGGGCGCGAGGGGCAGAGCGGAACCGTCTCCCCCTCGGCAAAGGGCAGAACTTTGGGCTGGCGCAAAGAGCTGCCGGGGGCACCCGGGGTTTTCGCG